CCAGTTATGGTAACCGGTTACCACAAGACAATAACCTTTTCCTTTTCAAAATTTCTCGTCGTAACCGATCACCCACTTATGGTAAATGGTTACCGCAGGATAGTAGCCAATTATGTGTTAATTTTTGGTGTGGCAATCGGTTACCAGATTTGGGTGACCAGTTATCCTGCGATAATAGAGAAAAATCCTGCAATTGCTTATTATGATCTTCCCATGTTCCAATCCCAAAAATTCATAGTTTTCACATCCCAAAATCATATTTTAAGCAGGCTAATTACTCATCAACATTTGTACATTAATCCTAACTAATTCATGTCATTAAATTTCATCACAAACACATCGAAATCACAAAAATTCATTAATGGGAAAAAATCCCTCAAAACAACCAATTGTGGAGAAATCAAAACATACAATCATACAACCTAAATCCTACCATATACTATCATTAGGAAAACCCATATAGAGTTAGAATCCCCCTTACCTTAGATTCTTGGTTGGTTCTTGATTCCTACATTGAACCCTTGCCCTAGCTTCCTAGTGCTTCTCTCTCTTCTATCTCCTATGTTCTTCTTCTATTTCACGTACTATTCCTTTTTTCCTTCTTCTCACTCTATTATATTCTAATAATAATATTACTAACCCAATTAAATAAATAATTAATTATTATTATAAAATAATAAAAATAATTCTAATAATATAGTAATAATAATAGCAATCTATATTATTCTACACACCCCTGTGTTTCTACACAATTAGCCAAACACCCCCATAACCTCAACTTCTATAATTCCAAGGCATCTAGTTTCCAACAAGGCATCACATCACATCATAAAATTCATCAATTCACATAATTTCACCATCTCATCTTATTATTTAATTAAAAATAATTCTAATTAAATCGGGGTGTCACAGAAAATATATCCCAGAATCTCACCCAATAAACAGAACAGGGTGCATGTTCTTGATGCCACTTGAAATTCTGGCACACACAATATCAGAAGTCAAGACTGATGTCTCAACAACACATAATGTCATGACAAATGTTATAACATCTGCTGACAGAAAAACAAACTTGCTAAAACAGAAAAATTATGCAGAAAAGTAAATTGTATAAACTTAAAGAACATAATTAATTGTTAATACAGTTTGGTGTAACACACCTACTCTGGGGGCTACCAAGCCAAGAAGGAAATCTACTATCAATAATATCAATTCAAAGCTAAACAATCCAGTTTACATTTCTCACTTAATCCATACCCAATGCTTTTTCTACCTAGGAACCTCCTAGATATGAGAACCTCTCTCACACCCAATCACCATAGTGATATCAAACACTCCCGGTTCCAGGGAATGTATCAAGAAACCAAAAAGAAGATTACACTTCCAATATAAAAATACTTAGTTTGCTTAAAAGCCTCACTAAGAACAATACTCAACTATTTGCTTAAAAGCTTAAAGGAGACTGTAATACAGTGGCAGAACCGACTGTTAATACTGGTTTTGCGTTTGTGTTCACAAATGTCGCGGTAAGCAAGAGTCGCCACCGACTTTTCTTTTATCCAAATTAAGGAAAAGGTGAAAAGAACAAAAAAAATACCTTTTCGAGAATTTTCTGAGTAAGGGGGTATATTATGGAAAGGGAAGGTGTTAGCACCCTTTCCATCCGTAGTTTTCTACGGGCTCTTAGATGCTTAGCTCATTTTAAAAGTACCTTGTGCTTTGTGTGTTTTGAAAAATGTTTTGAAATGCCTTTAGTGCGGCGAAAAAGTTCGTTCTTTTCCTCTTTTCCTTTAGACAATACTATCCTACTATTAGTGAGTTGGTAGCCCTATCGTTAGATGTATGAGGGACAATCGAAGGGACGTTACAGTCACGAAGGCAACTTGGCAAGAAGCCTTAGTAACCACCCTAATATTCTGAGATCACTTTTATTCGAGGCAACATCGAGAAGGTCATCGAGGGATTAGTGATCTTTAAACTGGAGGATAGTCACTAAAACTTCTCACGTTTTGATAATTGTGATTGTTTTCCGAAGGCAACCGAAGTGGGATACCCTAGAGGTGCGCATGTGCAATTGTGTTTAGTTCAGCTATTTATCTTGCACATTTAGGTTTGCTAACGTTTTAATTTTTCAGTCTTGTCATGCAATCCTAGTTACTAGCAGTTCATATGTACAGAAAAATGTAAAGTGCGAAAATATAACCCTACGCTATTACATGTCTTCGGGGAGGGGGATATTTATAATGTACAAAACTTGGGGGAATAAAAATATAGAAAGCGGTAAAAATCCTAATTAGTCTATTACATCAAGTATACAGGTACAATAATGTAAAAACGAGAGAATAAATAATGCGCGAAAGGTAAAGACGTCTAAAGCCTAAAGAAAATCTAAATGAAATAAGAAAATCTTTTTTTGTTTATTTTTTTTTCTTTGAGAAAATAATTAAATTAATTATCCTAAAGTCTATTTAGAAAATAAAATTAATCAAGAAAAATAGTCTAAGTTCTTTTTTTTTTTTGTTTTTTTTTATTATGAAAAAAATAATTAAATCTAAATCAAGTCCTAAGTTCTAATTCATTTTAAATTAAAGAAAATAGTTAAAATATTTATTTAATTTATTTACAAAGTTAGTTTAATTAAAAAAAACTAACTTAATATTTTTTGTGATTTTTCTGATTATTTGTTTAATTAATAAATAAAGAAAACAAAAATAAATAAAACTAAAACAATACAACAAAAATGCTAGATGGGCCTGATAGCAAAATAAAAATAGGGGGTGCTAATTGAAATTCGTTGGGCCCAAAGTTGTAAAGCCCAGACTTCATGCCTGATCATGTGTGGACAAGTCTTGAAGGCATATGATATACTACGCGCTTGGATCTGCTGGCTTGAATCAGATGTGCATGGTGCACATCTGACCATGCTTTACATGGGATCTGCATGAACATTGTTAGAAAAGTGAGAAAATGCGGGACCTGGGACTCGAACCCAGGTCCTCTCCCTTCGCACAAACGCTCCTTGCCAGCTGAGCTACTTGGTTATTCGTTACATAAAATAAAATAATAATATAATATAAGAAAAATTGGTCAGATATATTAAAAATGAAAAAAAAGCGCGCTGGGTTTGAATGGGCCAATAGGAAACTGCCACGCCTTGTCTTCTTCCTTGCTCTATCGTTTTAGGTATAGAAACCAATAGTGACAATTATTGTTTGTCACTATAGCACCTGCATCTCGAAACATCTAGAATACGAAGCATAAATTAAAAGTGAGGCCATGGATCAATTGGCCTTGACCTCCTGAGCACGATGTTACCCTTAGTTGGGTCTAATTTTGGCTGATTCGAAAAACCCCAATTCAGAGGTCCAAACCCTAACCATGTCCAAGCATCGTACCTGCATCAAAACTTAAATTCAGCTATACAGAAAGCTTGTAAACATTCATATGAACAAATATGCATGGTTGAAACGAGCTTATATCACATGAATCAAATAAACAAATTTGAAAAATAAATGCAAACCGTGAGAGTTGGTTAGGACGTCTTGTGATGCTTTAGGACGTGGTAATGATTGAAAAAGATTCAGGGGACCTTCAGGAACGTGTTTGAGTCCTTTGTTTGGGCTGAGAATGGCTGGAAATGTGTTTTGGAATTTGACAACTTTGCTTACTTTTGCAATTTCGTATGATTCTTTAAAGATTTTTTTCGTGTCCTTGAAGCTTGCTGGTGTGCTCCTTATATAGAGGGGATGGAGGGGACAAGAGGGCAAAGTAATAAACAACCATTAAGTTGGTGTTTTAAGGCCACAAATATCACTTTGAAACTTTGCCAAAGACATGGTTTCTTGTCCCTTTTTGAATTTTCTATGAAACTGGACCTGCTTGCACGAATTTTTGAGCCTCTAAAATTGTCCAAAACACACTACAACATTTGTTGTCTCTGGCAACACTTTTTTAGGTAACATGTAAAAATTGTTGCCTTAAATTCATATAGGCAACGATTTACGATTGTTGTCAAAAATATGTTTGCAACCCTTGATAATCGTCGCCTAAAATACTTTTGGGGACGTTTATGGAGCGATAGTCTTTTATTTTTTTGCCAACGGTTATTAATTGTGCCCTTAACTGCTTTTGGGGACGATTTTAGAGCGTTAAAATATTATTTCTTTAGCAATGTTTGACAATTGTCCCCTAAAATATTTTTGGGGACATTTTTAGATTGTTACATTAGTTCTAATAAAAGGCTACATTTATGAAATGTTGTATAAATTTTTTTAGAATTATCAAATTTTTTGTGGCAATCTTCCCTCCAAAACTTATACACTAAAAAACAAATATTTTTCTCTAAACATTATTAATATATATAAAAAAAATATTTTTCTAACACAGGAATTTAAAAATAAAAAATTTCAATTAAACAGAAAATAAAAAATTATATATATATATATATATATATATATATATATATATATATATATATATATATATATATATATATATATATATATATATATATATATATATATATATATATATATATATATATATATATATATATATATATATATATATATATATATATATATATATATATAACACATTATTAATATTTCTCTAAAACTTATATATATATATATATATATATATATATATATATATATTAAAAAAAATTTCATTAAACAGAAAATAAAAAATTTTCTAACACGGGAATTTAAAATATTTTTTATTACTAGTCCTCTCAATTATTGCCACGTCTTATTAAAAAGGGTACGCAGATAGCAATTGGGCCTGGCCCAAACATATTACCAGCAGGAAGAAAAAAAAAAGAGTAAATGAACAAGATGAGTGGAGCGGGTTTGTGGTGATGTAAAGCCTAGAACGAAAATTGAATAACAAAAAATATAAAAGCCACACCGTCCATTATTCCCTTCCATATTTTTTCTTCGTGTTCTCTCCCTCATCTTCTGTCTCTCTTACCTCACACCTAAAACAACAACAACATAATGAACCCTAGATCAAAACCCGATTCGGCGACGGTGTTGTCCTCCTATCCAGATTCTGGTGGCCTTGGGTGTGGCTATGTGATGAATAGATGGGGCTTCGCAGTGGGTTCGGTATCAATGGCGCTTGGAGATGGTGTCGCGGATGAGAGATCGAGTCCCAGAGGTCTGGGTTTTGTGTCGTGGTTGAGTTGTCGGTGATGTCGTGCGATCTTGGGTTTGCGCAATCTGCCGAAGGCGATGATGACAGTTGCGTCTTTGCAAAAGCTGGTGGAGTGGAGGGTTGTTGCGGGAGACACAGTTCCGGGGGATGCAGGAAGTGCGGCGGAAAAGGTAAACTTATGTAACAATTCTTTACTGCATTTGTTTTTAGCTATTCTCACTATCTCCCATCCCTTTCTTAACTGTCTGTGTCTCGCTTTATAGCCTTAGAGAAATAGTTTTTTTAGGAAACATCTTAATGTGTTTGTAAATTGATTGTAGTTTTAAAGGTAATTGATTCTATAGAGAGGTGTTCATAAAAAGGGAAGGGACAAAAGAGAGCTTAGAAAGGGAAGGGACAAAAGAGAGCTTAGAAAGTGACCAGGAATTTACTTCGATCAAAAGGTATTGTCATTTATCATTTATCAGATATACTATACTATATTATAAAATATATAACAAAGTGTTTAATTAAATTATTAAATTTGAGAAAAAGGGTATGTATGTAATGTAATGTTTGTATTGTATGAAATGATATGATATATTGAAAGGAAAGAAAAAAGTAGATGTTACTGAATGAATAAAGGAGTGAATGGTAATAGAAGAATGATGCTAGTGTGATTTGGGAGTTCAATAGGTTCTTCTTTTGATGGAGAAAATCAGACATGGCCCCTACATGAATATATTATTTTTCTATAGCTACTAAGATATTGTTGTACTAGAATTTAAAAAGTGAAGGGTAAAAATGTATTTGTGACTATGAACTTAGTATATGAATCTCATATGGGTCTCAATATTAGGGTTTTTTCCAAATATTCTAAAGTTGTATCAGAAAGTAGAGCTTTTAGAATTGTACTTTTGAAGCAGTGGTGGAATTGATGATATATGCTTGAGTTTGATGAGCAAAGAAGACTACATATTGTGGTTTTGTATGGTACAATTTCTAAATATGTGACATTTTTGAATTATATACAGTTTCTTGAGTTTTGAGAGAATAGGTTTTTCTCTAAATATATAATTCATAATTATATCTGCAAGAACTTGATTATGATCAGTACTGGGAAATGGCCAAAAACAGAAAATATAAAATGCAAACTAAACCTCTTTTAGTTATACGTTCCTTTCAATATTATTGTTTATTATCAAAATTCATTTTGTTATAATTATTTGATCTTTCTTTCTCTCTGTCATGATTCTCTTTAATGTCACAGTTTTCTACATGTTGGTATAAAGTGACTGAACTTTATGTGAAGAAAAGAAGATATACTAGAGACGCTTAATATATATAAAGGGGAGGAATTCTTAAACTTTATATAATGAAGTTTTTGAAGTGATTTAGTTACATATTTGATGATGACAAATAAACAAACACTTTGGTTGCTTGTGTTTTTGCATGCCACAATTGTCTATATCCCAATATAAGAAAAATAGTATATTTATGCAGAAATGCATGATTTCATCAAATGGTGTATCGTGTGAAAGTTTTGTATCCATGTTCTATAAATATTAAGTGGATGAGATTCTATCAAAATTTGTGATAGAAAATACCATCAAATCCTTCTAGTAAAAAACCCAACAATCAGTGTGACATTTTGATCTTGATCTTTGTAACTCATAATTGTGTACATTTCACATGTGGCTTTTCACACAATTTACTTGCATTCTGTTTTGGTTGATACTTTATTACGTGCATGATGCGGTTCACGCAATGTTAGCTTAGTTTCTTTTGAATTGTCACTGTTAAGGTGTTCATGTATATGTGTGTTGTTGTACGGTGTTTTACGGTTTGGTGTTGTTTAGTTTGGACAGCATAATTGTGTATGTATTAACAGCATAATTGTTGTACGGTGTATTATTTTCACACAATTTACTTGTAGGAATTTTAATTCACATAATTTGTTATGGAATTATTTTGATTTGTGCAGTGTGAAAAGGAAAAAAGAGAGCCCACTCAATCAGAAATGTTTGTTGAAACTCGAAAAGGAAATAAAGGAAAGGAACTGGATGTAGAAACTGGAAAAATAATTGTATGTAACATTGTTTATATAATACGTTTGCTTAATATAATCGGCCAACATTGTCTATAATAGTAGCTAATATTTTTTTTTTTGTAATTTATGCTAGTCCCAACTTCAAGAAATGGTTGAAAAGGAGGAAAGTGATACAGAAGACAAACTTCAAGAGGACGACGAAGATGAAGAATTTATGGAGGATGACATATCTAACGAATTTCAAGAGGACGATCTGGATGCTTTACTCCTAGAAGACAAACTTGAATGAGTTGGATGATGTCTTTTTTTTGGCTTGTAGTTGAAAGCATTAAACTTGAAATATGATTTTTGTTCTTTTGCTGAACTATGTTTTTAGTTATTTTACTAGGGTCATACTTCAAAGTATTAAAAGTAATATTGTTACGTTAGGCATTTTGTGTACTCTATATACTATGTCTTGAATTAAAGTTTGAACTCGATTTTATTATATTACAACTTTTATGGATGTATGGTTTAAGTTATATAATCAATATTATTTTTGAAGCCAATTATTATTGACTATGTTATTTTGATAATAATTGCAAAATTGTATATTTTATGTGGACACCATAAAACAACAACCTATAAGCTATGGCTACAATTCAAAAACGATCTTCCTGATTCAGGTTTAAGGCAACGATTGTTAATTTTAGCCGAATTTGGCAACACAAAGCTTAAAAAACATTGTCTCAGAGGCCGTAAATAATCGTCCCCTATTCCTTTACTATAGGCGACGTTTTTCAAAAGCGTTCCCAAAAAACATTAAAAAAACATCGCCTCAAACAATAGGCAACGCTCGCACAGGAGACGCCTAGAAAACGTCCCCTATTGTTTTAGGCAACGATTTTCAGAGTTCTGGCAACGTTTTTCAATTGTTGCTGGAGAGCCTAAATATTGTAGTGACATCATCCCAAATGCTCAAAACCCATTTCCAATTATTTTATACATTTTATTTTATATTTATTTGAATAAAATAAAATAAATATGTACAAAATGGGTAGAAAATTTAAGGCATGGTAAGAATGATTTTAGAGGTCCTCTATAAACTTAGGAATATGCTTGAAGTCCAAGAAATTAAGCCATTGACCTAAAACTTCAAGTTTGCTCAATGCATAATTCTTGAAATTTCCCAAATTTTCTCAACTTGGGCAAGCCATAACTTGCTTAATTTTTATCTCATGATGATTATCTTAGACGTTTTGGAAATCCCAAGATGTCTACTTCAATCCCTCTTTTGATCAATTTTGTATTTGAAGATTTTATCTTAAGGTAAAAGGTCTTGGCAAAAAGTGACTTTTGTTGACTTTTTGAAAATGGCCTATAATGTATGAGCTTGTATCTTTCAAATGGTGCATTTCTTGGAGTTGAGGGATGAAGAGAAGTTGTAGTTAATTACATCCTATTCAAAATGAGCTTTTTTTTGGAGCAAAATGGATGAAGTATGTGAAAGTTATGTCTGGTCAAAGTTCAGTTGACTTTTCCTATAGAAACCATAACTTTGCAATTCTTGACTTTTGATAGATTAGGAACATTTCTTGAGGAATAATGATCAACCTTTTATCAAATGATGGATATCACTTCAAAATGTTGATGTTGACAAAAAAATCTTAAAGTTTGATTGTATATAGGCCACAGTTGACTTTTGACCTCGTATAGTTAATTTTCAAACATTTGGGCCATTGACTGAGCAAACTTGTAGTGGAAGGCATGAAATTTGGCATGGACAATCTTGAAGGCATTTTAGGACAGTGGAAAACATTTGATACCTTTGGAACTCACACATCTTAATGAAAAGTGAATCCCTGGTTAGAGGTTCATTGCTTAGGAGGAGAATTTGTCTGGTCAATTCTTGGTCATCCTTGAGCAATTGAGAATCTCTAAGAGCATTCCTTGAGTAAAAGTGGGAGGGAAAATTTTGGGGTACAACATATGCCCCTGTTCAATCTTCTTAAACCTGAGGATTTAGATTGGCTTGTCTGCCTTTCGTAATCTGAAGGTGGAAGAGGATTGAACACTAGAGTACCCAGAAATTTGCACTCGCATGAAGTAACACTGATGGTTGATGATGTTGGGAATGGGCTTACAGATGCCATTTGGAGAAGATGATGGAGATTCGTCGGAGATGGGCTTAAAGATGCCATCCAAAGTAGGTGTTGACTTCATAAGAGGTTTCTTTGTGGGGATTCCTCTTCCTGCTGTATGAGGAGGACTCTGTTGGGGAATGTGAGTTTTTGTTGTTCTCGCGCTTGAGGAAAACTCTGTGGGGAATAAAATCTAGGAACTTCAGTTTTCCAAGGCTCTATTGAGGAGTTATCTTTGTACTATAGAGATAATAGTTTTCTTCTTTCTAGTTGGAATCCAGGTTTCATAGTAACTTGCTGAGGATAATGGAATTAACTGTTACATGAAAATGTATTAGAAAGTGTAACACCCCAATTCTACCCCGACAAATTATATAAAATAAAATCAGAGTTATAGAATTTCAATCATATAGATGAATCGGGACGTCACAAATTCTTCTAACAAATTCATTGCATTCATCATGGATATATAACACTTTTTCAAAACATCGGATGAACCATCAACATGACATCTTTCATTAAATAATTCAACAACTACACAACGGAATTCTTCAATAACATCTTTAAATAAAAACAACAACTTCGAAACATCTCATATTTAATAATAATCAATTCAAAATTTAGCAACTGAAAAATCAACAATCAAAAATCAGCAAGCGTTCATCCCCCCCCCCCCCCCCCCCCCGAGTGTTACATATCAGAGCAATGACACCGACTCGAACTATTGAAGGTACACAGCCTTCACTCGCGATTACCTGCATGTTAACAACATAAGGGCAACATTCAAACAGAAGGGGTGAGATATCTAACAATATAATAAAGCGCATGATAATTAATATATTAAATTAGATCACTAATATCACCACTTCTCATCTCATAATCAACAATAATTACAGCATATATACTTATTCATCAATATCAAATACACTTTATTATTCAATCATATAATGCGACTCAAAATTATGCAAATGCATGTGGTACCATTGGAGCAGAACTCCCATCTCAAAAATCTACCAATTAATAGAGGAATCAACAAGGCATAGCCTTCATCTAAAAATTTGCCAATCCAGGCCATCTTAACGAGCATAAGCTCCATCTCGAAAATGCAATGTATGCGACTCAAACATGAATGTAATGATAACACCCAAGTTAACAACATCTCAAATCATCTCAAAACATCTCAAATTATCATCTCAAAACATCTCAAATTATCATCTCAAAATACGTCTCAAAATAACATCTCAAATAATCAAAATAATTCATCAAACATCATTTATTTATGAATCATCAAACACAACATCATCAATAGCATCTCACTAATACTCAACTGTATATTAATAGTACAGTAATCCATCTTGTTATTCTGCTAAATTATATCGTTACTATCACTAATCCTACTTTCATATTTCTAACAGCAGCCTCTAAACATCTACTATTCATCATTCTATCCAGAAAATTAGCACAACAGTCTCTACGGGAATTAATTCTAAATCATGCATTATATGCTAGGATTACACTTCTTATCCATCATTTAGTCACCTAGAATAAAGCTCATCGCGTTAGCTAATCAATGCTTTTAACGGCATATCAAACAACATCCTAAAACTCAAGTTACAACAACTAAAAACTGATTCTCTCAAAAATCAGACCTTATGGGTTGACACAAAACCTTATGGATCGACTCATCCTACTTCTCCTTTACAATATGGGTCGATGCAAAACCCTATGGATTGACTCATCCTGGCTTTAAATCACAGCATGTATCGACACATGCACCTCACCGGTCGACTCATCCTGAGTCTTGCAACTACCATGCATCGACGCAGGCCCTTCTTGTATCGACTCATCCTGAGTCTATCATTGTCTATGTATCGACTCATCCAGTTTGAGGTCGATGCATACTGACCCATTCCTACATAATTCTGCATTTCCTTCTGTATTCTCACTACGGAAATTATATTACCGTCCTACAAACCTTAATATAAACGTGATATTTCATCTCCTAACATTATCCTCTATTACCACATCGATCAAACGATATAATAACATCATTATTCATCAGGAATTCATCTATCTTCATCATACATCATTCATAATACATCCAATTCAAGAACAAAAAAACAGT